CCAAGTTTGCACATTAAAGTAAAGTCGTCTTTAAATTTTGATAAAAACTGACTCATGATGAATGATCAATGCATGCATACCAAGGTCACACACATTCAAACCCCATAGGATATACCAGGAAGGCCACCAGTCAGGAACCTGCCCTGATCCATGCCAGGCACGCAGTAAACGTTCAATATTTGTGGAGTAAGAGAATAAACAGATGATCACTCAGCAAAGACTCCTGTTACTTCGTACACATTTCATCAGCCACCATCCTGGTGGGCCAAATGCAAGCAATAAAATAAACTAGTTGTTACCACCAACTTGAAATAGCTTTTCATCCTGACCTAACACTTGAAGATGCAATGTGAAGGGCTGTATAAGAAATGCCTATGAAATTTAGCAGAGGTTCATCGCCTCTGCTCCTGGAAAAACCAAGTGTCTCCTAAAACTGTTCACAATACCTCATTGGTACTTTTTTATATTAATGTTTATTGTGACCAATGATAAATTTTAAAAATACATTAAGGCAAATTCTCAACGAAATAAGCAAAATTCTTAAAAGGTCCTACTGCCAGAATACACTAACATTAAAGTTGATATAAAAAATCATGATTTTTGTTTTTGAGACAGGGTCTTACTCTGTCATCCAGGCTGGAGTGCAATGGCATGATCATGGCTCACTACAGCCTCGAACTCCCTGGGCTCAGATAATCCTCGCACCTCCAAGGTAAGCTAGGACTACAGGTACGCCACAATGCCTGGCTAATTTTGTTTGTTTATTTTTTCGAGATGGAGTCTTGCTGTGTCACCCAGGCTGGAGTGCAGTGGCGCAATCTCAGCTCACTGCAACCTCCACCTCCTGGGTTCAAGCAATTCTCCTGTCTCAGACTCCCAAGTAGCTGGGACTACAGGTATGCGCCACCATGCTGAACTAATTTTTGTAGTTTTAGTAGAGACGGGGTTTCACTATGTTGGCCAGGCTGGTCTTGAACTCCAGACCTCATGATCTATCTGTCTCGGCCTCCCAAAGTGCTGGAATTACTGGCATGACCCAATTCTTTTCTTATTTTTTTATTTCTGAGATGGGGTCTGGCCCTGTCGCCCAGGCTGGAGCGCAGTGACGTAATCTCGGCTCCCTGTACCCTCCATCTGCCAGACTCAAGCCATCCTCCCACCTCAGCCTCCCAAGTAGCTGAGATTACATGGGTGTGCCACTACACCCAGCTAATTTTTGCATTTTTTTGTAGAGGCAGGTTTTTGCCATGTTGCCTAGGCTGGTCCTGAACTACTCTGCTCAAGTGATCCGCCCACCTCAGTCTCCCAAAGTGCTGAGATTACAGGCATGAGCCACCGCACCCCACCTATCCCCCAATTCTTGATTCTCATAGGTTTGGGAGGAGAAAATTGTATTGTACAGAAAAGAATATATTTTCCTCCTTCTTTCCCAAAAGTGATACCTTTTTTTTTCTTTTTCTTTTTCGCTTCACTGCTTAGAATTTCCAGTACAAGGTTAAAGAGTAACGGGTTAAATTTTGCTATTATTATAGCAAAAATGTCATGTTTGTGATGTTAATAAACATCAGCTAAGTTTTCATTGATACACCTGCTAGACTAACACTAAAAAGTAATTGCAAATTAGACATTTAAGGATCTATAAATATTTGTTCTAAGTAGAATGTACTAACTAGAACACATTTGTCAGGTATGCTCATTATGTCAATTTCATGTATAAATTTCTCTTCCTTTCTAGATGACTGACATATCCTTTTGTCATAAAATCAAATTTCAAATGCCAAAACCTATTACTTCCATTTAGCAATAAAAGCTAGCAATCACTGAGGGGAAGCCAACTTCCAAAAGTTTACTTGTAGCTGACAAAAAGAACAGACAGTTCTGAAGTGGAAAACGATGTCCTGAGAGAACACAGAGTACCACCAGAGTATCTGATTTCTCAGGGCCTTCCCAGGCAAGGGGAGCTGCCACTGCCAAGTGCTCCCTAGCGGCCAGCAAGCGAGCTCGCCGGTGATGGGACCTGCAGAGACACTGCCATGTGGATAATCAGGCGTCTTGTCTGACTTCTTTTTTCACCAATTATTGTTCTTTACTTCAAGAAAGAAACAAGAAATAAACAAAATAGGAAAACAACCCGGAAACAAGTCTTTTTTTTTTGGTCCTGCTCCTCAAAAACGAGAATGAGAATTTATTTTAACACATCATCTTTTCAGCAGACAGTAATAAATGAACCGTGGTGGAAGGTTTGAGTAGTGAGAGGTCTAAAGGGCCAACATAAAGTTGGAAAAGATAATTAAAAGACTTAGAAAAACACTTCATAAAACCCAGGGTGCAAGGCCAAATCCCACAACTCTGCAGGCAGATGCCAAAAGGTGCGGTCTGCAGGAGGCTTTTTGTTGACAGGTTAGAAGATAGAAGAGATGGAGCGGGAAACCGCCCTGCATTATAAATGGCAGGTTGTGACATCTTTAAAAGGGAGGCAGAGTGGAAAACAATCATGTATTATAGCCTATTCTGTTTGGAATTTCGTTTTCAACTTAAGGAGACATATGTTAGCCATAGAGAAATGATGCATGATTTATATCCATTTGTTAAAAATACTTTGATTTCATTCCACAGGCAGTCCTAACAAATAATCTATGAGAATGAAAGGGAATACAGAATGAACAGCTGTTAGTCTTCCAACAGCAGCCTAGGAGGTGAAATCTGAGGTGCACTGCAACCAGGTATTACCTGCCTCGCGGTTTAGAGTGTGGGATCCAGAGTCAGACTGTGTATGGATACGGGCTGCACCAGGCACTAGGTAAGGTTAGGATGGTCACTAACTTCTCTGAGTCTTAGAATGCAGACAACCATACTTCCTACCCTCAGAGGATCGTTGAGAGTGATTGGAAAGTAATCTCCACATGAAGTTCGGAACAGTAAGTGCTCGATAAATGTCAGCTGCATTTGTGATGACTAGAATGATAATGATAATGACTCGACCCTAGGTGCATTACATCTAACTATTCTTTCTTTTTTTTTTTTGAGACGGAGTCTTGCACTGTCACCGGGCTGGAGTGCAATGGTGCAATCTCAGCTCACTGCAATCTCCGCCTCCCAGGTTTAAGCAATTCTCCTGCCTCAGGCTCCCAAGTAGCTGGGACTGCAGTAGCCCACCACCGCACCCGGCTAATTTTTTTGTATTTTTAGTAGAGACGGGGTTTCACTATGTTGGCCAGGCTGGTCTCGAACTCCTGATCTCGTCATCCACCTGCCTCGGCCTCCCAAAGTGCTGGGATTACACGCATGAGCCACCATGCCCGGCTGCATCTAACTCTTCTAGTAAGGGCTCTGGGAAAGAACTTAAGATCACAGTGATGAAATCTCCTGGCCAGACTCGATTGGGTGGGGCTGTTCGTAATGCTCGATGACTGGGCTATCTTAAACGCAGATACCTTGTAACAAAGCCCTTGCAAGAGACCGTGGCATGCCACAACGCAGAGACAGGATGACTAATGCTCGTGCAACCAGAAATGGCTATCACAGGCCACAAGGACCGGACGATACCTTAACAGTGAGACAGCCAAATGCTTAGGCAGATAAAATGGGGTCCCCGGGGAATCTCCAATCGGTCCAAGAATGTTCACATTAGATGCTTTTGGGTCGATGAGGGAACCTGCCCAGGGCTTGTCTGGGCATCCCACGGTGGACTTGGAGCCTGACATGCACACTGGGGGAAGTGGGCGGGGCCATGGGGATTTCTTCCGTGGGGAAGAGAAGCCTGCTCTCTTCCGCTCATTTAGTGACCTGGGAATCAATATGTGAGGCGGGGGCCTGTTAGCAGGAACCCCTCCCACTTTGCTGAGGGTCTTTCTTTTTTCCTTTCTTTTTTTTTTTTTTGAGATGGAGTCTCGCTGTCTCCCAGGCTGGAGTGCAGTGGCGCGATCTCGGCTCACTGCAAGCTCCGCCTCCCGGGTTCACGCCATTCTCCTGCCTCAGCCTCCCAAGTAGCTGGGACTACAGGCGCCCGCCACCGCGCCCGGCTAGTTTTTTGTATTTTTAGTAGAGATGGGGTTTCACCGTGTTGGCCAGGATGGTCTCGATCTCCTGACCTCGTGACCTCCCAAACCTCCCAAAGTGATGGGATTACAGGCGTGAGCCACTGCGCCCGGCCATTTTCCTTTCACCTAATAAAACCCTGTTCTACTCACCCTTCAATGTGTCCGTGTGCCTAAGTTGTCCTGATCGTGTGACAAGACCCCGGGTTTTAGCTGAACAAAGGAGCAAAAATCTGCAACAGTCACCTGGGCCAATGGCTGGCAGATTTGTTTTTAGCTACAGAATTTGCTTTTCAAATAAATCTTACTTGTAAGCCACAAAATGGAGGATCTGGGGGTTCCAGAGTGAAGCCCATGGTTTGGGGGGGGTTTGGGGGGTGGAAGATGCACTTTCTGAACACACTGTCCCAAGTAAACCACCCATCTGCCCTGAATGACACACTGCTCGCTCATCTTCTAAGGAAAGAAGAGTCCTCTCAAATCCCTTTCAGCCTGGAACTTGGAACAAGAAGGAAATACCTATTCTCACCCACTGGTCCAAATGTAATTACTTCTATTTCTATTTTAAAAAATATTTGGAAACAGAAAATGAAATCTGTCCCTCTTAATAGGGTATCTGATACCTTTTTTTATTTTTTATTTTTTTGAGACAGTCTCGCTCTATTGCCCAGGCTGGAGTGAAGTGGCGCCATCTCGGCTCACCGCAAGCTCCACCTCCCAGGTTCACGCCATTCTCCTGCCTCAGCCTCCCGAGTAGCTGGGACTACAGGCGCCTGCCACCTCCCCCGGCTAATTTTTTAGTATTTTTAGTAGAGATGGGGTTTCACCGTGTTAGCCAGGATGGTCTTGATCTCCTGACCTCGTGATCCACCTGCCTCGGCCTCCCAAAGTGCTGGGATTACAGCCACTGCACCCAGCCAGTATCTAATATCTTAATAGGGAAAAAATTCAAAAGTAACTTACAATAACTTCCCTAAAGGATTCCTGGTCACTGATTGTCTTGTCTTCTACACATCCAGATTGATTCAAGTAGTGGTAGTTTTCCGGCGTAGATAAATAAAATTCTTCTACAGGAAGACAAAGAAAAACACGACGTCACAGTTGTCCAGGACAAGACGAAATTCAGAGTTTTCACTCTGATTTTTTTAAGTATCTATGTAATTCTCTGCTCCTAACAGTCTCCCATAAAGATAGTAAAGTTCCCTCTTAGTTATCATCTAGGGAAAACAGAAAACAATTAGTGAAACGAAATGAGATGATTAAAAACAGTT